GCAAAAGTTCGAGTACAGCCACAATCCAAGACACTTGGTGCCGCTAACTTCGTTGACGTTGAGCACGATGGTCCAGCTGGTGGCGACGCCCTCGGTCGCTCTAGCGCACGCAAAGTCGTGTTTCAAGACTTTGCTGCCGTGTTTCGTGAACAGCAGCAAGGGACACTGGATGACCCACAGGAAGTCATCGCCTCCGCTGGCCATTAACGCTTTTGCGGTAGCTATAAATGAAAATTATTTGTCGCTAAAATGTCTGTGTCGGTTCGAGTCGTCGCAAGCAAGCTCGCAAAGACAAAAGGTGGGTTTCGGCAAGCCGCTCTGCAGCGAGTCTTGAAGCGCTCGAAGCCGCGGCGGACGAAGCGCTCGCGCTCGTCAAGCAGAGAAACGCCACGCTGTACGCAGATGCGTCGTACTCCTGTGCGGAGAAGAACTTGTTGTTCATGAATGGTGCGCCGATGCCGCTGGGCGTCGCGCTCGCAGGCTCTTCGGCGAAGGACTATGAGAAGTGCTTCGGGCTGGCCGCGGACTCGCTAACTAAGTTGGAGCAGTTGCTGGCGCTGCTGGAGCTCGGCGAGCCGCTGGACGCAGGCGTCACTGCATGACGTCGCACACTTCGTGCTCAGCCTCGTCTAGGTCTGACTCTGGCGCCTGCGCGCTGTGCGCAGCTTCATTATATGCGCGCGCGATCTCTGGCTTGTACAGGTCGCCGTAGTAGCCCTCCTTTAGACGGTCCACCAACGCCTTTTCAAGATTGGTGATGATCTTAGCCGCCTTCAGTGCTTTCAGCTCGCGCGCGCTCTCGCGCTTGCGCAGCTTTTTCTTTTCGGTAGTCAACACGCCCACCTGGTTGCGTTCTAGCTTCTTTTTGCGGTCCAGCGCGTCTTGCAGCTTGCAGAGCCGGCGTTTGCAGCGCTTGATTTGGTACTCTTTGTATTTACCCTGCATCAGCGCTTCGATTTGCTCAAACGCCATCGTGATGTCTTTGTCGAGCTCGACGCGGTCCCACGCCTTCGCCGGCTGGTCCGCGCGCTCGGGGACCTTCAGACACAGTAACATCAAGTCGCCCTCCTGCACCACCGTCGCGCTCAACTGGTTGGCCAGCGGACAACTGCTTTTGCAGCACTCGCCGGTTGCGTTGTACTTGTTCGAACAGAGCACCAAGTCGTCGAACCTAGGTCGCGGCGTCGCGCACTTACTTGTACTTGTAGGAACAAAAGTCCAGCCCGCAGCACCTCCAAATTTCCTCGTCACAGCGCATTTTCTGACTACGGTTGCGCCGTTCTCATGCAGTCCGGAGAGCTTTTCAGCGGAGAGGTTCTCTGACTTCGCGCCAGACTATTTGAAAATTCCTATTTAAAGTGGCGATTTAAAAAGCAGTGTGGCTGTTTGTGAGGTCTGCGCTGGAAGAACGCGAACTCGACGAGCGCGCAACGGCGCGCAGCGCGCGCAGCCGCTGATTAGCGCGAAAAGCGGTTTGCTGCGCTGCGGACGTTAGCGCGCTACTCGCGCAAGCTGGATTTCAGCGTCTAGCTCTCCAGAGATCACGTAGAGGTTCGTCAGGGGACAGTCCGCGGCTAAGCAGCGGCTGTTGGCAAAGCCGATTCGTAGCTCGTGCGTGAGCGCGTGCACGTATGGGTAGAAGAGTTGCAGGCGCTGCGGCGGCGGCTCGAGCTTCAGCAGTGCTGGCAGTTGGCTGTGGCTAGCGAGAAACGGCTGCAGCGGCTCTGCGTTTTGCGCAGCAGCGTTCTCAGAAGCGGTGTTGTGCGGCGGCTGCGCAGCAGCGAACGTGACTTCGTAACTGCAACTCAGCCGAGCGTCCGCCGAGGCGAGCAGCAGTTTTAGCAAGCAAGCGGATGCGGCAGCTGGGGCACGGCTGCGGCGCACGACCACTGTTCTGCGGAAGTGCGTGCCGGGCCGAAACACCAGACGGTGAGCGCGCTGCAGCAACTCTGCGCAGTGCTCGTCGGGCCACAGCGAGACTGAGACATTGGCTTCTTGTTGCGCGAATACTGAGACACAAACACGTTCGTCCTGCTGCAGCGCGGTTGGTAGCACGAACACTGTCAGCGCGTCGGTCGTGCAGCAAGTCGCTTCGAAGCAGTCCTTGCGGGCGCTTCTCAGTGTTTTGGTTGTGGCACCCAAACTGGCCGCGGCGAGCGAGCGCACGCTGCTTCGAGAACAGCGGATATCGAGTGCGACGGTGGCCCCCGGCGAGCAGTGTACGACGAAAGCCATCCGTCTTTTGCACTGCGGAGTGCACTCCGGCAAGTGCGTCCACGTCGCGCTGAGCACGCGCGTTTTGGCCAGGTTGAAGAGCGGGCGAGAGCTCACGGCCACCGGCACGTTGCTCAAGAAATGGAAGTTGTAGCGCGCGTGCCGCGCGTCGGTCAGTGTGCTGACGCGCAGCCGCAGTTGCGCGACTGCGGGCAGCACGAGTGCGCGGCGACAGTCGGCGACCTGTTCTTTAGCTTCAGCGACGGAATCGCCGGCGGCAGCGCGGAAGTCGATTTGCAGCAGCGCGACTTCGGCGTTACTAAAGGCGGACTTATGTCTGAACTGCAAGCTGCTGCCAGTTTCCGAGGAGACTTCCCAGTTGAAGAAGTGCGTGCGGATTGCTGAGCGGGTTCTGGCTGGCCGCAGAGGCGCTTCGATCTGGACCCACAGCGTGTCGGGCGGCTGCACGGGGAACGTGAGCAGCAAGTTCGGGTCGCTCCAGTTGCTGGAACGCGTTGGCTGCGGAGGGCAATAAGGATGCAGACTGTTTGCCAAAGTCTCCGCTGTGCGAAAGAGTTGCGTAAACGCGAACTTCTTCGTGTAGCTTACGTACAAGTGGCTGAGATAGTCGTATGCTTCACCGAGCTGCAGCACGCAGATACGCTCGGCGCTTGCGCCGTCGTAGGCGCGCGGAGGCGCGCCGTACCACGGATTCACAAGTTCCACGCATAGTTCGTTGCGGACTCGCCAGCAGCGCCGCACGGCGTAAGCGTGGTGTGCAATGAGTCCGGTCAACGCAGAGACCGCGATGCCTTCTGCGCAGCTGCTGCACTCGGGCAGCTCGCTGGTGCCTGCGCAGAGTAGACAGTCGTTGCGCGCGAGCATGGGCGCGATGCGGTCAAGCAGTGCGGCGAACGCGTGAACGCTGTGGCGCCGGACGGTCAGAGCCTCGGTCGGCTGCCCGGTCAGCCGAAAGAGTTCCGAGAGCGGGTTCGAGACGCTGCTGACGCCCGCGATCGCGTTAAGCTTATTCACGGCTTTCGCGAGCAGCGAGACCCAGAGCTGCGAGCCGCCGACGTAGTGCGTCAGCAGCGGCGCCTGTTCCGCGAAAGGCAGCAAGTCGTCGACGAACACGAGCAGCTGCGCGCCGTCGCACCAGAGCTTGACGGCGTGCACGCCGCTGGGATTGCTGAGTGGCAAACCCGCGGCGGACTGCGGGAAGACCAGTTCGTGCACGCGACGGATGTCGACTCGCGCTTCGCGCTGCACGATGCTGATGAGTGCTGCCGCAAAGCTGCAGTCGTCGAACGCGCCCTGCCGGATGCCGTCCGCGCTGTAACGTGGCTCGCAAATGAGCTCCGGGGGCGGGCTGTAATGCGGCTCGCAGTAGTGCGATTCGCAGTAGTGAGGCACGCAACTGGGTTCCGGCGGGGCGCTGTCGCGCGCGGGTAGCGGGGCAGCTTCAAACGGTGCGTCGTGCTGGAAGTGATGCGTGAACCGAGCGGTCGGCCGCACGTGCGGCCGTAGTTCGCTGCGAAGCGCAGCGAGCTCGGCGACGCGCGTGTGCTGGACGCAGGCGATTTTTCTGCGTTGGAAAAACGGCCGGAAGCTGAACGCGTCGCAGAAGCGCGCAGGCTGCTTGCGAAGCAGCAGAGCGTTCAGCTGCGCCGTTGAGAGCGAGGCGGGCTGGAACTGCCAGCGCTGCACGAACGCGAAGTTCGGCGGCGCTTGGGCGCACATTTCGGAGCGGCGACGCGCGCGGTGCGCAGGCGGTCGCTGCAGCGTTGCCGCGGCGAGCCTCGCGAATTTGTTTATAAAACTTTAGCGAGGCTAATTTCGGCAGTGTTGCGATGCACTTGATTTTGGACAACGGCGCCGGCTACGTCAAACTCGGTGTGGATTCCGCGCCGACGCCGGAACTGGTGTACACCAACGTGAAGTGAGTGGCGACGCGGCGCACGCAGAGGCACGCTGAAAAACGGCTCGCGCAAAGCGTTTATTGGAGACGCGAACTTGTTGAAGCAGAAGTGAGTTCCCTGCACCGCGATCAGAGTGCAGTACACGTGCGAGTTTCCCGTGGTGGCCGGCGTCATCGTGGACGTCGCGCTGCAAGTCGAGATCTGGCGCTACGGCATTGAACAACTGCTCAAGAAGCACGGTGTCGCGCACGCGGCGCTGGCGCTGACGGTGCTCGTCGCGTACGCGCATCCGCTGCAGCAGATCCGGCGGCTGACGGACGCGCTTTTCGCGTTGCCCGACGTGCATCAGTGCCGCGTGGTGCCGAACGTGCTCACCGCGCCGTGGACGTTTGCGCGGTTGCCGCCGCTGGCCGCGCTGCTCGCGCGCAGCGAGCGGACGGAGCGCGCGGTCGCGCTGCCGAGCGGCGAGGTGCGCGCAGTGAGCGTGCGGCTCGAGGACGGCGCGCTGGCTGGACGACTCTTGACGGTGATTGGCCCGGAGTGTGCCGCGCCGGCCGCGGAGCTGGCGGAGATCGACTGCAAGCTGATCGTGGACCTTTCGTACTCGGGGTGTTACGTAATCCCGTGTTACGAGCAGCTGTTTTACGAAGCCGCGCTCTGCAAGTCCTGCGTGGGCGGCGCGTACATGTGCAACGAGTTTGCGAAGACCGTGAACTACCGCGCCGCGCGCATTAAAGACCACGACGCCGTGCTGCGGCGCATCCTGATCGACTGCGCGCGCGTGAGCGCCGACTTTCGCGCCGAGACGGCGCGGCTCTGCGCGCTGAAGGATCGCTTCTTGAGCCGGCAGCCTCAGTTCATTCCTGCGGACACGGGGCTGTACGTGTTCAACCTCGACTCGCTGAGCAGCGGGAACTGCGTGGACGTGCCGGCGAGCCAGTGCGTGGTGCTCGGGCCGGAGCCGATTGCGGCGGCGGAGTTATTGTTCAACCCGATGTGCGCAACCTCGCCGCTGGTCTGCAGCGACGCGCGTGAAGAGTACGCGGTTGCGGCGTGCAGCGCGGCGGACCGCGGCGGCTATGTGCACGGCGCGAATGTGCAGCTGGTGCGCCCGACCTTGAGCGTGCCGGAGAGCGTGATGGAGGCGCTGTTCCGGCTGCCGCCGCTGCTGCGGCGCGTGATGGCGCAGAACATTTACCTGACGGGCGGCGTGGCCGCGACGCCGCACCTGGCCGCGCGGCTCTACTGCGAACTGCGCGCGCGGCTGCCGGTGGACTGGGAGTTGCGGATTTTCGCGGTGTCGGCGCCGATCGAGTTGCCGTGGGTGTAAGTGGCGGCAGAGAAAAAGCAGCGGCGCCAAGCAGTGGCACGAAACGGAAGGCGTGCACTTTGCGTTCGTCGAGAAGCCGGCCGCGGCCGCGGCGCGTTAGGCCGCGGCCTGCGGCGCGGGCTGCGCGTCAGGCTCCGCGGCTTCGCGCTCGAAGCTCTCCTGCAACGCGCGGAGCGTCTGCACGGTGCGCGCGTTCGCGCGGACGAGGGCGGCACGGTGCTCGCGCAGCAGCGGGACGGTCAAGAAGTCGAGTCCGTAGACCGCGTGTTCGGCGTCGGCGAGCTCGGGGACCGACGGGTAGCGCTGGCTGAAGTGCGTCATGACGAGTAGCCCCGCACGGGCTTTGCGCGCGATGCCGCAGGCCATCTCGATCGTGCAGTGTTTGCGCAGGCGCGCCTCTTTCTCGAGCGCGTTCTCGAACGTGCACTCGCAGAGAAGCACGTCGGCGCCGTCGCAGAAGCGCTCGAACTTTGGCGAAGGGAACAGGTCGCCCGAGAAGACGAGCGAGAGGTCTGCGGAGCGCAGTTTGAGCGCGTAGCTCTCGCCGCAGGGTTCATCTTCCGCGCAGGCAACGTGGTCGACGTCGCAGGTGCTGACGTAGAGGTCGAGCAGTGCGCTGTAGTGCTCGTCTGCGGTGTCGTTGAGCAGAGAGCACTGTAGGAACTGCACGTGCGCGAAGTCGAAGGTCGCGAGCCACTGCTGCACGGCGGCGGGGCAGACGATGAGCAGGTCGTCGGCGGCGAAGAGCGCGTGTTGCGCCATATAGTGCAGCAACGGCGGCAGTCCGTTGACGTGGTCGCCGTGGTAGTGGGAGACGAAAACGAGCCGTAGCGCGCGCAGCGCGTCGTGGAACTGCTCTAGGCTGCGGCAGGCCTGGTGCAGCTGGAACAGCGTGCCTTCGCCGACGTCGAGCAGCACGGCGAAGCCGCGCAGCCGGCAGTAGGCGGCGCTGACGTTTCGGAACTTGCCGGGCACCGCGGCGCCGGTGCCGAGCAGAGTGAGGCTGCAGTCGGTGTCGAGCGCGGGCACGGGCGTATCTGCAGGCGCGTCGTGCGGCGCGCGCGGCGGCAGCGCCGCGGCGTAGTCGCGGTCTGCCTTTATGCGCAGCGCGGCGGGGTCCACTTCGCGGCCGAGCCGCGTGGCGTTTTCGCTGCCGAGCGTTAGCTCGCTGAGGAAGTGATCAGGGAAGGCGCCGGTGGCGGTGTGTAGGTTCAAAAACGCGCCCGCGTGCGCGCGCAGCGCGGCGCAAAGGCTTGCGGGCCGCACGAACGGGTTTGCAAAGCGCGCGGTGGCGGGCGCGGAGACGCAGACGGCGCGCGGAAAGGTGCGGCGCAGGTCGGCGGCGAGCGCGGGCGCGAGGTACGCGCGGCCGAGCGCCAGCGCGAAGTCGGCGGGCTGCGCGTCGGCGCGGCGCAGAAAGCCGCTGCGCGCGAGCGCGCGCGGCGCCGCGTTGGGCAGCAGCCATAACCGCGCGCCGCGCTGCGGGTTCTCCGAGACGTCCGCATAGTCGAAGGTGCGGCCGTTGATCTCTAGCCGTCCGCGCGCCTTGAGCTGCCCCAGCAGCGGCCCCGGCTTCAGCCCGAGCGCGGCGACCTTCTGCATGTTCATGCGCCCGGGGTCATCCTTGTGGTCGATGCGCACCAGCAGCAGCCCCGGCGGCGCCTCCGGCTCGTCTTCCGGCTCGTCTTCCGACACGTCTTCCGGCTCGTCTTCGGGCTCTTCGCCAAGCTCGTCGCTAAGCTTTACGCTAGGTTTGTCGCTGGGCTCGTCGCCCGGCTCGACGATAGGTTCGTCGGCCCGCTGCTTGTCGCGCTGATCGCTCGGAGCGGCGGCGGGGAACAGGTGCAGCGTGAGCAAGTCGTGTTTGGCGTCGAAGGCCGTGACCTGCGTGGGCGCTTTAACGACGAAGACCTCGAGGCAGAGAAACGCGAAGCGCGAGTTGAACGCGTTGTAGTTGCGCACGAACTCGAAGACTCCCGGCGGGCCGAACACCCGAACCACGTGCAGCCCGCGCTTCTGCGCGTGGTAGCGCGCGGCGGCGGCTGGCGTCTCGGCGTTGAGCGTCTCCGCGCCGCAGCGCAGTGGGCGGTAGAACCAGTCCGTCGCTGCGCCGCGCTGGCAGAGCCA